TCAACTGTTTTAGCTAGAAGCATATGCCGGGAAGAAAGTGCCACTAGCGAAAAAACCTGCAGGGGAGTTGTGCAAAAAACGCATTCTTGTACCGGCACCTGGTACGCTTTCAACTAAGCTTTTTTGTTTGCTATAGTAATATAGTTAAAGGATGTCACTGCAACCACGCGGAAAGGTAAAATCCGATGGGCAAAGCATGTTATTCGCCTCGCTCGCAAATGGTGGATGACACCCCCTGGAGAGTGCTACTCGCTAAAAAGAAAACGGCCATTAGGACAACTCTCGAAAAAGTGGCACACATAAATCGAATAAATGATGGGTGCTAACTGAAACTATGCAGTCCAGGGTCAACAACGCTGACACAGCAGTACGTGAAAGCGTCTTATAACATTACTAACACGTGATATCTACACTGATATCCGAACAATTTTCCGTATTCGTGATATAGTAAATACGGATTTTAAAAAAGTTGCGTTATGCCTCGTTAATTATTGCGTGCCATACAGGACTAATTTCATTTGGAAAATCGTCAGTAAAATGAATATAAATAATTTTATACAAGAGATACCGCTCACATTGGTACTTTGATTAAGTGCTCTTACATTCCGTCCCGCCATTGTTCCAGCTAACAGCTTCTTTATTGCCTTTAAATGCCGAGTCTGTCTTATAGAAGTAACTCCATATAGATGCTCAAAAGAATATTTTCACCGTACTAGCAGCACTCTCTATGTTCGTTCAACGTTTTTGTAGAATTTTTAAATGTTTCATTCCCAGAACACGATTCAACTTTTCTTTGCAGAGCATGTTGCTCTGAAAACGTCATGTATGTCGGGCTAAAATTCCACGATTCATTGTATCAAAATAACTCTTAGAAACGACAAGTTGCGAAAGTGAAGTTGAGAAACAGGAAAAAGCACTTGATGAATTTGTTACTTTCGCTGGTTATAATTCATAGTCTGGTTTAGTAACGGTGATTCATTTGTAGAGGCCGGCAATTTTTCCAGCTGCTGTGGCCAGTGCTGCATCGCTTGCTGGCTAATCTCCTGATTGACGATCTCTATGTCTACTGGATTACGAACTCGGTGGTTGATTACGCCAGCGATCTGCCATTTTCCTCGAACCTCGAATCATGAGAAGTGCCTACAAGAGTAGTGACTGTAATGCTTCAGCAATTCGCTTGCAGTAGAATAATATCGACTGAGCGATGCATGGTCGAAATCATTATCTGTTGCAAGATTTTTCTTAACACTGCCAGCTTTTTCTTTCTACATTAAAAATATTTTATTATTTTTGAGGCGATCCTCGGAAGAAGGAGCTGTTGTTAGCCTCACTGAGCCAAGTACTTTTCTCTGTCATCCGCCCTCATTTACATAAAGTTCCTGCCTTGCAGTGAGCTTATTGATGTGATCATGCAAAACTTGTAGTGCGCATGCACAGAGGCATTTTAACACATTATCAGACAGCGACGCTTGGCAGCACGTTTTGTTCGTTTATAGAGTGCGGGAGGGCATGAGGAAGTTATCGAATGAAACCGGTTACCGTTGTGGATACCTTCGCCACTCTGGCACTATCATCAGCATTATCATTGCCATCAACCCCGTTGTCGTCGTCCTCATCGCTTTTCGCCGTCGTCGTCGTTGTCGTCATCTCCATATCGTCGCTTGTTGTCCTCCACTGTTGTAGCTACTACTACTGCTGCTGCTTTTACTGCTGTAGCGATCTTTAAAATAATCAAGGAACAAAATCGACAATTTGTGAAGTGAGTGCGCTAGCGAAAGAAAGTGGGGGAAGAGGAGGGCGACAACGAGAACGAGGTGAAACGCCTTAGAGCGGTACGCGTTCCACGGAGCATCCAATCGTTTCGGTAAGAACGAAGAATACCAAATTTCTTCCCAAACAAATCATCATTTCTTCCAAGTATCACTGCCGACACATACGCACATTAGCTCCATTTTGCTAATACCATTTCCTGTCTTCATTATTAATAC